GAATGGGAATGGGAATGGGATGGGAATGGGGGACACCTGCTGGAGGTGAGGGACGGGAATGGCAATGGAATGGGAATGGGAATGGGAATGGGAATGGGAGTGGGAATTGGGCTGTGGGACACCTGCTAGGGGTGAGGGATGGGAATGGGAATGGGGATGGGAATGGGAATGGGGATGGGGATGGGAGTGGGAGTGGGAATGGGAATGGGGATGGGAATGGGGATGGGAATGGGGGTGGGAATGGGGATGGGGCCATGGGACACCTCCTGGGGGTGAGCAAATCGTACTAAACCCAGAGATTTTGGGGTCCAGAGCAAAGACCCTCGGGCTGCATCGCCGGGATGGATTGGAGGGAATTTGGGGTGGGAAAATCTAATTTTGGGGTGTGAAAACCTTAATTTCGGGCATGAAAAGCTTAATTTTGGGGCATGAAAAACATGAATTTTGGAGTATGAAAACCTTAAATTTTGGGCATGAAAAAGTTTAATTTTGGGGCACAAAAAACCTTCATTTTTGGGAAATGAAAACCTTAATTTTGGGCTTGAAAACCTTTAATTTTGGGGCATGAAAACCTTAAATTTTGTGCATAAAAAGTTTAATTTTGGGGCACAAAAACCTTCATTTTTGACATGAAAACACAAATTTTGGGTGAGAAAAAACCCTGTATTTTGGGGCATGAGAAACCTTCATTTTGGGAAATGAAAATCTTAATTTTGGGCTTGAAAACCTTTAATTTTTGGGCATGAAAACCTGAATTTTTGGCCATGAAAACCCCTCGGTTTCCTGGGCTCTGCTGCTCCTCGAATCCCGTGCGGAGCCCCAGGGAACAGCGGGATCTTCCCGGCTGGAATGAGTGTGTTGGGAACCGAGGCTCTGGGAAGTTTGGGATGGACGCTGCGGGAATTCCCACCGGGATTTGCCAGATTTCCCGCACTAAAGCTCCACCTTCACTCCATCCACGAGCCCCCGTGTCCCGGGATGGCTCCTCTCCCCGCCTTCGGAGCAGGAATTCCTGAAGAATTCCTTCCCAGGAGAAGGAATTTCCCGCGGGATTAGGCCGGGCGGGATCTGCTCCCGCAATCCTTGGAGCTCGTGGGCATTGGGTCAGCAGGAATTCCCGGCACTGGGAATGCTGGAGGGAAGGGAATGAATCACACGGATCACATCCAGACTTCCCAGGATTTGGGTCAAATGCGGCCAAAGGTTTGGGAGGTTTTGATCCAGGGGTTTCCCGCAGATCCGCTACACCGGCTGCTCCATGAATCCCGCCCGCTCCTTCGCCCCCGCCGTCATCGTCGGGGACTTCAGCGACCACTGGGTAAGGACGGGGGGCTGGGGGGTGGGATGAGCCCTCGGGATTCCTTCCCAGCTGGGGATGGGACCAGAGCAGGAGGAGGAGGAGGAGGAGGAGGAGGAGGAGGAGGAGGAGGAGAAGGAGGAGGAGGAGGTGCTGCCCCGGCTCATCCCAGCGGGATTGCGGCAGGAGCGGGGTTGGTTGGCGGGACTGGGCAGGAGAAGCAAAGCCAGTGGAGTGTGGGGAATCCCTTCCCGGTGGATTTAGGGATCCCTTTTCCATGGGATCCATTGGGAACGTTCCCGGTGTTCGGGCTCGCTGAGGACCTTTCCTGCTTCCCAGTGGATTTAGGGACCCCTTTTCCATGGGATCCTTTGGGAATGCTCGCTGGTATTGGGGCTCACCGGGGTCCCGGGGCTGCCAGAGCTCCAGGAGGGTTTGGAGAATGCCCTGAGGGACAGGGGGGATTGTTGGGGTGTCCTGGGCTTGGACTGGATGGTCCTGGTGGGGTCTCCCAGCTCGGGACATCCCGGGATTTCCGTCATCAAGGAGCACCTTTGGAGGCTGAGCTGGGGGGGTTTGGGGGGATGAGCTCAGAGGGGTCCAGGCCAAGGTGCTACCTCTTCCTCCTCCTTCTCTTCCTCCTCCTTCTCCTCTTCCTTCTGCTTTTCCTCCTCTTTTTTTTCCTCCTCCTCTTCCTTCTCCTCTTCCTCCTTCTCTTCTTCCTCCTCCTTCTCCTCCTCCTCCTTCTCTTTTTCTTCCTCCTCCTGGTGCTCCCCAGAGCACAAACCCTCGGGAAGCTGCTCCTCCAGAGGAGCCCAAACCCCTCAGCACGTCCAGGGCAGACCCAGCACCAACGAGGGGCTCTGAGCCGAGGAGATGGACGGCAGAGGGGGGTTGGGAACGTTGGGGCACTGGGTGGGAGTTCAGACCCCCTGAGCAGAGCCGGGTTCCATCCTGCTCCCAGGAGGAACTGTGGCAGCCCTCGGGACGCTCCTCATCACTCCCGGTTCTCCCACCCCGTCCCTGGACGGGTCTCGCCGACCCCCCCGGTTTGGCTCACGCTGCTCTCCCGTCCCTCCCGCAGCTCTTCTGGGTTGTTGGGAACGTTGGGGCGCTGGGTGGGAGTTCAGACCCCCGGAAAAGAGCCGGGGTCCGTTCTGCTCCCTCGGGACGCTCCTCATCTCTCCCGTTTCTCCCACCCCATCCCCGGGAGGGTCTTTCTGGCCCCCCCGAGTTTCCTCACGCTGCTCTCCCATCCCTCCCGCAGCTCTTCTGGGTGGTTGGGAATGTTGGGGTGCTGGGTGGGAGTTCAGACCCCTGGAGCAGAGCCGAGTTCCATCCTGCTCCCTCGGGACGCTCCTCATCTCTCCCACCCCATCCCCGGGAGGGTCTCTCCGGCCCCCCCGGGTTTCCTCACGCCGTCCCTCCCGCAGGTCTTCTGGGTGGGGCCGCTGGTCGGGGCGGCCGCGGCCTCGGTGCTCTACAACTACGTGCTGTGCCCGCAGCCCCGCACGCTGCAGGAGCGCTTGGCCATCCTGCGGGGCCGCGAACCCGAGCCCGACTGGGCGGAACGCGAGGCCCGGCGGCGACAGTCGGTGGAGCTGCACTCGCCGCACCCCCCGCCCCGGGGCATGTCCGAGAAGGTGTAACGGCACAAAAACCCCCCTCCCCTCCGACGGGCCGGGAGAGGAGCTGGAAACCTCCCGGAGCGCTCGCCCGCATGAGCTTGTCCCCTCTCTCCCCTCTCTGTGCCGCTTCGTGCCGCGTCTCCCGGGGGGGGCTCGGGGTCACTGCCACCCCCGCTCCGTCCCCTTCCAGCTCGGTGATGCCGGAGGGGACACCGCGACCCCCCGGTCCGTCCCCGGGGTCGGTGGGACCCCCGCTCCGTCCTCTCCCAGCTCAGTGATGCCGGGGGGGACACCGCGACCCCCCAGTCCGTCCCCGGGGTCGGTGCGACGCCCGTCCCGTCCGCTCCCAGCTCGGTTATGCCAGGGGGGACACCGCGACACCCTGGTCCATCCGCTCCCGGCTCGGTGATGCCCGGAGGGGACACCGCGACCCCCCGGTCCGTCCCCGGGGTCGGTGGGACCCCCGTTCCATCCCCTCCCAGCTCGGTGATTCCGGAGGGGGGACACCGCGACCCCCCGGCGCGGCTCCTTCCCCGTTTCCCCCCGGCAGGACGGGGGCCGCGGGGCCCGGGGGAGGTTGTTGTGCCCTGGCAGGACCTGCGGAGGTTGTTGTACCCTGGCAGGACCTGCGGGGCCGCGCAGGGGGGTCATTAAGGGCTGGGCGTGGGGGTTCCACCCGCCGGTGCCTCATCGCCGCTGAACTCCGCTCCCCTTCGCGGAACCCCGCAATCCCAGAGCAGAATTATGAGAGACAAAATCCGATTTTCATGTACACAGGCGTGCGGCGAAGTTGTGAGATATTCAAGTCCCGCTTGGAACTGGGTGTCAGGGTCTGTTTTTCGGCCGGATAAGGGAAATGTAAAAGTTCTTAAAAATTAAAATCTTTGGGGGCCGCGTGGAAATTTTGTACACGGGGGTTTCTCTTCTCTCTCTTTGGGCTAAAAGAACAAAGCAAGAGCCGTCATTTTTGACAGAGGACGCCTTGCAGCCAATTGGAGGAAGGGAAAGCCTCTTTTTCAGAGAAAAGAAAGCTTTTTAGGCAAAAATGAACATATTAAAGTTATCTGAAAAGGGTGGGATTCTGTGAAACTATAAAATGTATGGAATTTAAATCCGAAGGGTCTTTTCTCCCCGAAGAACTCGGTGTGAGACCGGCCCTGGCGTGCTGAATAAATCCTTCCTTTTTGTTTTGGGAGTTTTTCCCGCCTTTTGAAATTCAAGGGAGGAATTTTTCTCACATAACGAGCTGGAAGGGACCCAAAAGGATCATCCAGTCCAACCCTCAGCCCTGCACAGGACCATCCCTAAAATCCCACCCTGTGCCCCAGAGGAGCATCCAAACCCTCCCGGAGCTCTGGCAGCCTCGGGGCCGTGCCCACTGCCCTGGGGAGCCTGGGCAGTGCCCAACCACCCTCTGGGGGAGGAGCCTTTTCCCAAAATCCAACCTAAACCTGCCCTGACACAACTCCAGGCCATTCCTGGGGAATTCCCTGCTCCCTGCCCGGCTCCTGGCACAGCTCAGGGGCTCGGGAGCTCCCCCGAGCTCCTCCAGTGTCCCACAAATGTCCCACAAACCGCGAGTTCTGCTGCTGCCAGGAAGCAAATCCTCCCTTCCCACCCCCGCGGGACACAGGGGGACTCACAGGGAGCTTTTCCCGAGGTGATGGGGCTGGGAATGAGTCCGGGAGTCCCCTCTGACCACACCAGGGAGCTTTTGCAAGTCCTGGGATGATGAGAAACCTGATTTTCAGCCCAAATTCAGCCCCAGCTTGTTCTTGGGCTGGTGTTGTCCTTCATCTCCTTCCCGGGTTTTCCTGTTCTTCCCTCTCTTCCTGCTCCTCTGGGATCACCTGGAACACACGAAGGAAACGTTCAGGTTTGATAAAATCAGAATCCTGGAAGGGTTGGGGTTGGAAGGACCTTAAAGTTCATCCCATTCCATCCCTGCCACGGGCAGGGACAGCTCCCACCATCCCAGGGGATCCAGCCCGTCCTTGGACACTCCCACGGATCCAGGGGCATCCTCTGGGAAATCCATCCCAGGGCCTCCCCACCCTCCCAGGGAACAATTCCTTCCCAAAATCCCATCACTCACTTCCTACACTCCAAACCTCCCTCCAAACCCTCCTCCCCGCCCTTTCCTTTGCCCTGCCAGGACCTGGGGACGCCCCGAGGAATTCGGGTTGGTCTTTGCCCTTTAAACCATGGAATTCACCCCATTCCTGTCCCTTTGCCCAAAGCCCTCCTTTCCCAGTGGGAATTCCTGGC